GTTTGTCTCAGGTTTTAGTCCAAAGCAAGAGACACTTGACTATTCCATCATCAAATTCTCCATGTTTCTCTAAAGGTCAAGCAAATATTGGCTGCTTATGGAGTCTGCTCACCTCTGAGGCACCATTAGATCATGATGATGAAGTGAACTGCCTTTATGGGATTACAGCCGAGTTACACACTTGTCTGCACTATATAAACAGCAGGTTCTGTGAGAGAGTGAAGAGAGCAGAATACATGGACTGGATAAACAATGAACACGACAGCAGGTTATGTGAAAGGTTGTACTCATAGAAACAGAAAAACAAACATATTAAAGCAGTGAATGAATATGTTTGTTAGAAAAACAAAGTTTGCTGGAAATGAAATTATTAATTGACTTTTGTGTGTCAAGCATGTCACTAAGTGTGTCTGTCTGCTGTTAGTCTTTCTCTCATCTGTCTGTCCTCAAACCTGAGAGACAGACACAAACCCTCATCAGACAAACAGAGCCATAATCAGAGAATGAGAGAAACTCCAGTCACCATGGTTACCACATCACATCACCCGAGAGCCAATCAGCCCAAAGAGGAAAAAAATCATCAGAGAGAACAAGAGATTGTGTGTGTGTGTGTGTGTGTGTGTGTGTGCAATATGCAAAATGCCATTATAATATGTAAAGTGGCACTGACAGGTGAGGATGTGAACATGTTAATGCATGCAATCACCTCAGAACGCATTTTTAAGTCCACATACATTCATTGTGATGCATGCAAACACAATTTCAATGCAAATATAACTTAATTGAGAGTGTAAATGCATTTAAGGAAAAATCCACCATTATTGCATGAACAAATTATAAACAAATTAAAAATATTCCTCCATTTCTGCAAATGCATTTCAGTTTGAATGTTTCTAATTAGAATGCATTCGGCTGTGTATTTAATTTAAATGTTAATTCTAGAGACGGAAATGAAAAATGCAAATTAAATTATTACGTTTGAATTTACAATTTTGCACCAGATGTCACACAAATGGCTATGGGACGTATAAAATCAAATACACATATTTTACATATAATATTTGTATTTTGCATATTGTATTTGAAATGTAATGCTTCCATATACAGTATATTTAGTAAGTGTATTTCTAGCTTAAATTATTTTATATCCAATGAGGCTATTACACAGCATTAAACTAGATGTATGGTAGTGTTTAACTAATCTATCTGCTTCACCTCACTTTCTAATCAAACTTCAGAAATGACTCGCTCAGCTAGTCCTGAGATTATGAGTGAAATCCAAGAGGGAATTTAGTCAGAAGAGAACCAGGCCGGACTGCAGAGCAGATGATTCATATGACAGCTGAATGAGTCAGTGTCTCCTCTGCATACTAATAATCACACCAGTTTACTAACGAAGGGAAATTAGCGCTGGTGTGAAGCTGAGGATACACCAGCGCTCCGGCCTGTGCAGAAAACTGCTTGTTGACACTGGGAAACATATTTTTGTCGGCACTTTGTGTGTGTGTGTGTGTGTGTGTGAGAGAGAGTGTGTGATGGGAAATGAAGAGAGCCGGAGGAAGAGGCATGGTGGTCTGTGAAGTGCTTGAGAGTCGGCATGTGGCGCATTATCGCCCTAATTACCATGCAGCATATGTTTTGTTAAGCGCGCTAAACCTGCCGAACTCTAGACGACTGTTCGCACATGCCGGCCAAACCTCTGCAGGGACGCATGGAGCCGCTGGAACCCAGCCAGCACAATTCACTCGTGTCGGGCACTGATCACACAAGGTAAAGTTAAAGATGTGTGTGCCCCATTTTTAAACGGCATGAGCATTTCAGGATTTAAGTTATTTAATTTGAAAAGGTCACTGCTGAAATCATATTTTTCCACTTCTTGCCTAAAGTACCAGACCGTAACCGTCATAGAAGCACATTTCGTATAGCTGATTCTTAACTATTACTGTACGCACAATAGGGTGCAGGATTCTTTGCACAGAAGACCAGAAGAAAACACCTAGCAACCACACAAAAACCCTAGCAACCACCTAGAAACATATTCCAAATTAGTGGTCAACCAATATGTTTTTCATCACCAGATTATCGATATAACAATATAACACTCTCTCTCTCTAATGATATAGCGTGTATATATAGGCTAATTGTACAAATGATTTAATTACACTGCAAAAAGGCATGTTCTTCCTGAGTATTTGTGTCTTGTTTTCTATGACAAAACCAATTGAAAATGAAACAAGTGTGTGTCTTTATGAGTGAGTCATTGATTCATTCACTCAACCGATTCATTCCGAAACAGAATGAAAAAAGCAGCTGCCATTATGAATGAGTCATTGATTCATTCACTCAACCAATTTGTTCGATTCATTCACTCAGAATCAGAATCAGAATGAGCTTTATTGCCAGGTATGTTTACACATACGAGGAATTTGTTTTCTTGACAGAAGCTTCCACAGTGTAACAGAATAACAGTGACAGAACAAAAAACACAGATAATAAAAAATAGAACAAGTAAATAAGGAATACAAATATATAAAAACATATAAAAAATCATTATGTAGATATTATTGACATATGTACATATACACATTTTACTATGGAGATTGTATATATGCTATAAACTTATATCTTCATATAGCCAGAGTGTACATATGTGAAAAAAATTATATATGGCCTTATAGGTAACATATATGGCAATATCATTCTATATATAGAGCAATATGCTGTGTCATATTATATTACATTTCTGTATGGTGAGTGTAGAAACATATGTAAAACAGTTCTTAAAGTGATCGAGGACTCACGGTTGTAGAAATCTGACCCGTTTCATCTATGTATGGCTGACAAATATGCATCACATTAAGTTTATTAGTTTGTTTATGTTAAAACAATATAATCCAAATGCATGGAAAATTTACATGCAATTCAAATACATACTGTAAATATTTTTTTTATATACTGTATATATATATATATATAATTGTGGCTGTTTGTTTCTGCTGCGGTTTACATTTTGACACTGAATACCTCTGGAATTTATTAAAGAATATATGATTATGGAAACATAAAGCTAGGTCAATTCGATTTGAAATGCAATATGCAAAATGCCATTATAATATGTAAAGTGGCAATGACAGGTGAGGATGTGAACATGTTAATGCATGCAATCACCTCAGAACAGGAACTCAACCGATTAATTCCGATACGGACCGAAAAAAGCTCTACCTTTGTGAATGCGTCATTGATTCATTTACTCAACCAATTTGTTCGATTGCCAGAGGGCTAAAAAAAAAAAGAAACACATAATTCAAAGGGAAAACAAGTTTTCAGTCTCCATTGACAGATTTTTGTTCTTGTTTTAAGCATAACTTCATTTTGTTCAAGTTCTCGGAAAACAAGATTTCACATGTTCAGTCTGCATTGCAAGTGAATGTATCTTGATTTAAGGATGTTTAGATATTTGTATTAGAAAACAAAACAAAAATACTGAGGAAGATGTTCATGTTTTGAAGCAATGCAACATTTAACGTCATGACTTCATGAATTTAAGACTTTTGTGGAATGGGATATGGTACAAATTGTAAGAGTTGTACGCAAGTCCAAATTCAGCATGGATCATTCAGGAATGAAATAAGCGACTTTCTTTACAATTCGTTCAGGAATTAATTCAGAATTCATTCAGTATTGTAAATTCATTCACTTAGCCGATTCATTCAAACAATGACTGATTCTTTCACGAAACAAGCGAGTGAGTCATTGAGTCATTCACTCAACCGATTCATTCAATGACAATGACAGCATTGTAAAGTCGCTGTTTGTTGTGACACAATTGACCTATCGGTAAGCCCCTCCCCTAGAACGCAGATGAGCCAATGGCAGTCGAGTATCAGTTGCAGGGGAGCGGAACTCGGACATCTGTAGGTTTCAGCGCCATAGGGAAACATTGGAAGATCGCATCGGTTTAATGGTGTTTATGCTACGAAAACGGAAAAACGATGTGCCTAGGGTACTTGTAACACTAATTCCAGTTATCCTGAGAGGATAGGCAATGTAATTTATGTTATTCCATTTCCTAAATCCTAACAAAACAGAGCAAAATGTCCCTAAGCATTCAACCCCTATCACAATGAAGACGAAAACGTTCATTTTCTGGTTGTCATACTCTCATTAAGTTACAATTTTCATCTACTCAAGCAGAACGTTAATGTCATCTTGTGCTTCAGCGAGGTATCTCCGGCTAAAACTAGCTAACGTTAAAGTTAGTGAGTCCATGCTAACGTACAAACCTAAATAGCGAACTGTTCTCACGTCATGTGGTATATGAACGGTGTTGATCCGGGATGTTGTCATTACGATCGTAATATAATCTTCCCGCTTGCCTTGTAAACGTTCATTTTCTGGTTGTCATACTCTCATTAAGTTACACTTTTCATCTGCTCAATGCAGAACGTTAATGTCAACTTGTGCTTCAGCAAGCTATCTCTGGCTAAAGCTAGCTACCGTTAGCGTTAAAGTTAGTGAGTCCATGCTAACGTACAAACCTAAATAGCGAACTGTTCTCACGTCATGTGGTATATGAACGGTGTTGATCCGGGATGTTGTCATTACGATCGTAATATAATCTTCCCGCTTGCCTTGTGATCTGTATTTTTACATATTTATTTTAATATCTTTTATATATCCCTCCATGGCATATTTAAGCCTCACTTGAAGGTCCATCTGTGTCCCAAATTTATCAGAAACACCTCGGAAGAAGGCTTTCACTGACAGCTGTCATTGTGACACAGTGACAACTCTGTTTGTTTGTCCGAGTGAGCAACAGTATCTAAGGGGGCGGGGCTTACCGGTAGGTCAATTGGGCAGATTTTTTTATGCAGAGCTGGCAACCCATTTAGAAACACCACTACAGTTTGTCGCGCAGCATTTAATTTGCCACGGTTTAGCAAAAACAGGCTAAGGATAGTGGCAATGCTGCATCTAGAATACGATCATGTCCTTCTCACCTGGTAATGAGGCAGCAGTCGTGAATGATGCTGTCCTCCACGTACAGCCCTCTGTCCTCCAGCGTGTGGACGGGACGCTGCTCGTGGCTCCAGGACAGTCTGACAGATGGGTCGAGGTATGAGGCGGTGCACTGAAGCGGCAGACGGTCCCCGCGAAACACCAGCTGCCTCTGGGTCGGGATGAGCTGCGAGACGGGGAGCTCCAGGGGGCCGTCTGAAAAACACGGACACAAAATCAGTGGACATGATCTCAGTGTGACATACTAAACTCCACCTGAAGTTATTTTGAACAGCATCTCTTTTATAATAAGTAATTCAACCAAGGGAATACAGTTAACTAATAGCCTAAAGAAAAAAAAAGCATCGCTCTGACCGATTCCAGATTAGAGTTAAAGTTTTTCATAGTGATGCAAGACGTACACAATTCTATTTAGTGTTACTAATCCTAAACGTCATATTAACTTCCATAAAATCATCACTATCTGAACTTATTTTGAACAGCATTTAATTTGTCATAATTATGCATGCAGCTTTAACGAGCTCATATTAACATATTTGGGACTATATGAAAGACTACATATGCAATATCTGTACTTTTGATACATTTTGGAATTTTTTTTTTTAAATGACAATAATAATAAATAATAATATTTATTATTAATAATAGCAGATATTATTATTATTAATAAAGAAATCAAAAAATGCTAAAAAAAATATATATATTAATCTGTCATACTCTGTATCAACTAGTGATAAAAAAACAAAGTTTTTAAAAAAATTTGACCAGTTACAGAACCATAGATATAGAACTTTTCGTACACATTCATTCAAGTACATCTGAACTAAAATGATTTTGATTAAAAATCGTGTCAGACATTTTCATGCTTTATTTGGCAATCAAATAATAAGCCATTAACATGCTTAGCTCAACAGATAAACAACAACATAAAAATAAAGAAAAACAAACAAACTGATATGAGATGATCATATAAATAACTCAAAAGCTCCACACAGAGACCCAGTGTAATGTTTATATATTTGTAAAGTTTGTGGTGGTTGGGTTTGCTCTCTGATGGGATTAAACGCTCCTGCTGTAACGAGCCGCTCCAAAACGAACTCTATAATGAGCAAGCTCACATTCACACGCCGCTGCCTCCGGTTAAACTCATGACTCAAGCCTCTCAGTTAACATCGGCAGACAGTCTCAAACGTCGTGGGGTTTTTCTCCAGATATCTTGCATGACACAATCTGGCTCATTTCTTGATTTTTATGTCAAGCAAAGTGAACGAAATGAGAGCCAAATTAAATTTAACGAAATTTAAAAAAATCTGCATTCTATATAAACAAGGCCATTCTATTAACATTTGTTCTATTTCAGAGGAGATGCATGCAGTATTTGCAGCAAAAATCACATTAAAAAATGTACTAAATCTAAAATAAAAACTGAAAAGGGAAATTAAATAAAAAAATCAACTAATAAGTACAAATAAAAAAAACATTAAATTTTTTTAATTTTGTAATAATTTTGCATGCAGCTTTAATGAGCTCATATTAATTGAGATAAAAATAACGTTTTCAACAGCTAAATGAAAGTAAATAAATTACTTTTATTTTGTATTATTATTTTATTAAATGTATTAAAAAAGTATCTTTCTGTATTCTACACAAACAAGGCTGGTCTATTAACATTTTTACCATTTCAGAGGAAATGCATGAAGTATTTGCAGCATTTTAACATCATAAAGATGAGAAAAGCACATAACAAAACTAAAAAATGTAAATAAAAAAATAATACAAATTGTAAAATAAAAAATTAAAATGAAAAATGCAAGCATTTATTTTGTAATAATTATGCAAGCAGCTTTAATAAGCTCATATTAACTGAGATGAAAAAAAATAAAATAAAATGAAAGTAAATAAATTGCTTATATCTATTACTATTATTTTATTTATTTATATACAAAATAACCTTTTGCATTCTATATAAAAGGACTGTTCTTTTAACATTTCTGTCCGCTCCAGAGGAGATGCGTGCCGTGTTTGCAGCTCTTTAACCCTTTAGTCCCTCTCTGACCTCTGCACAAAGCTGAAATAACATTTTAAATATAGAGAGAAAAAAAGCATTAAAATAACTGAAAAATAATTACAACTAAATAAACTAAAACTAAAAAATGTCAAATTTAATAAAAACAATATTGATTTATTTAAATATAAAAAACTAAACTAATAAAACAGACCAGTGCATTGTTAATGATGACTAAAACTAAAACTATTAAAATTATTTTCATTAATTGAAATAAAGACTGAAATAAAGTAACAACATTAGATGAAAAACTTTTTTAAAAACGAGAAAAAATAAATAAGTTTAAGCTGAAATACTAAAATGAATAAAACTAAAACTGAAATAAAATAAAATTAAGATAAATGTAAAATAAATTAAATGTACACTTATAAAAAATGGCAAAAGCACAAAACACATTTACTAAAACTAAAATGAACACCGAAAAAATGTACATATGTATTTATTTATTTATAATTATTATTAATATATATATATATATATATATATATATATATATATATATATTAATAATAATTATAAATAAATAAATACATATGTTGAAATGTTCCTAAAATAGGCTTAATTTTATTTTCTTTATATATTTTTCTTTAATATAATCAAATAAGATGAGGATATGTTCTTGACAGATTTACTGAGATTCAAATCTTAATAAATTATATAATAGTGCATAAATAAAGCTAAAATAACAATGGACTGCAGAATCTGTATCTTCCCAGCTTATGATCCACACATCATTTATATACAGTTAAACTAAAGCTTCTGGAAACACTTGAGGAAAAGTAGTTAACTAACATAAAGTATCCGACTTCATCTATTTAAGCGGAAAATATCTAATAAACTACAAAATTAACTAGAACCACTAGATCGGTGGTTCTCAGTTCCCTTCGAGCTGGCAGAATAGCCTGTGATGTCCACTTCGCAGGGCACTTACGGTCAATTAGAACAAACGTCTGAAGTAATAAGAGACACATACTAAATGTGCAGCGCTGTACTAGAGAATACACATGATTGTTGAGATGAGAGCAGTATTTATGAGGCACAGAAACAATAAATGTGTGGCATTACACTTGAACAGATACATAAACACGAAATAGAACTAATAAAATGCCAACGAATCTTTTTTAAAGCAGTTCACCGAACTGAATCATCTGAACGAACTGATTCACTAAAATGAATCCTACTTCTCTGCGCTTCGCATGCAAGCACAGAAGCGTTCTGACATGTTAAACAAAGTGGTTTGAAACTGGAAAAACTAGTGTTTTTAACATACTGTAAGTGAGCTACTGAAGCTAAAGCTGTGAGAATAACCACTGTAATGCTGTAAAAGACGATCCAGCTGTGCCAGAAATCACTAACACACTGCCAATTCTCCTCTATATGACACACACACTTTATAGCATTATGAGTTCTTCTGCTGACATTAAATCAAGCAGCAAGCCACATAAGGCCATGAGATACAGAACTGTTAGTTAAGAGCACTTAATGTAAAGCACAGAACAGCAGCTACAGCAATATGATAAAACACCTGTGTTTTTCTAGAAAAATATGCATGCATTTACAGCTGATGTGCAGTTGGCTATATATTTTACAATGACTATGCATAAGGCTCATGCAAAAATTTCACATTTTCGTCAATGCAAATGCAACTGCATTCTATGTAAACAATGCTGTTCTATTAACATTCATTTTCACTTCAGAGGAGATGCATGCAGAATTCGCAGCACTTTAACCGAGAAAAACGTGGGTGTTTTTGTGCATCACCGGATTTTCTGAATTCCTTTACTGATTTTGAGTGAATTGCATGCTAAAAAATGCACACAACTCATGCAAACACAAATTCATCAGTGGGCATAATTCATTCTTACCGAATATATTCTCATTCAAAAATGTGGGCATGCAATAATATATATATATATATATATTAATTGTAATAGTGCAAAATGTGGGATAAAAGTGCAAATGGTTGAAACGGCAAAATATTTTATTTAATTTATAAAAAATAATCTTTCAGCATTCTATATAAACAAGGCTGTACATTAATGCATGCCATATTTGCAGCACTTTAACTGGGAAAAATGTAAGCGTGCACACTAAAATAACGCACACAGTACATGCAAATACGACGTCATTAGTGTGCGAAACCTGTTTTTACTAAATACATTTTTACAGAAAAATGGGGAGGGGGGGTTGTGCAATAATAGTATTTTTTATTATAAAAACGTAAAACTCGAAAGAAAGAAATCAACATTTGCAACGCCAAACTTTATAGTTTTAAATTTTTTATGATTTTATTTAAAAAAATTTTTGCATTCTACATAAACAAGGTTGTTCTGTTAACATTAATTTTCACTTCAGAGGAGATGCATGCAGCATTCGCAGCACTTTAACTGGGAAAAGGATTTTAAAGTTACATTTTTGGCCATTTGTCAATGCAAACTCCTGCTATGCAGACGAGGCATACTATGGAATTGTGTTTGTGCATCACCTGATTCCCTTCAGTGATTATGCAAATACAACATCATCAGTGGACATGATTCATGCTTTCTGAATTCCTTCCTTATTTGGATCCCCCAAGTAACAAAATAGCTCTCTGTTTAATGCTTTGACGTGATTGTAGGGCTGGTGAGCATCAGTGAAGTCTTACCGCAGGTGAACTGCTGCTCCTGAAGACTGCGCAGCTCCAGTCCATGAAGACGAGCCGGATACATGCATACGGATTCATTCCCCACACGCACCGCCTGAGATCTGATCCACGACAACAACCAGCGCAGCTGACAATCACAGAACAGATAGTCTGTGCCCACGTGCCTGAAAACACCACGATCATCCATTTAACACACTGACACTATTGCATGAGAACAACATCTCTGCAGAGCTGCTTTGGGAAGTTACTTTTACTTTTATTCTAATTAATTCTACTGCTGGTAACGAATAATAGCATCCATCTAGTTCCCCTGCATGACTTTGACTGCACCGACAGAGAACGGTCCAAATGAACAAAGTTAAACAAAATAAATGTAATAAATCACTTGCGGTTTAGAGGCAACAGATTCTGACAAACTTAATAGTTAAAAACAACAAAATTAGTAAAACTTTAACTCAAATTAATGTGAAAACAGAAAATGTAAAATCTAATTCGAAATACTAACAAAACCGTCAACATTTCTAAAACTAACTAAAATTAAAGCGGAAAATAAAAATATAAAAAAATATTAATAAAATCATCAAAATATCTAAAACTAACTAAAATTAAAGTGAAAACATAAAATATAAAATCCAATTCAAAATATTAACAAAACCATCAAAATTTCTAAAGCTAACTAAAATTAAAGCAAAAACATAAAATATCAAATTAAATTCAAATATTAACAAAAAATGTAACAAGAATACTACAGTTTAGTAATTAACGTTTTTGTAATTTTGTTATGAGATTTTTGGCATTTTTACTATATTTTTTCAATATCTCTTTTGAGCTTTAGCTTGTATTAATTTCAGTTTTAGCTTTATTAAAGTGGTGTAGGTTGTAACAACGGATGTCTTGGTGTTTGACATTAACTCACATAATCTGTGATTGTGTAGCACGCGTCCAAGTGAATTTTATTTGTAGAGGACAAATGTGGCCACCGTTTATCAAAGTTTGAGATCTAGCACAAACAACCACTGAGTTACTGACGCTCAGACAAAAAGTGTAACATTCATAACCACCCATTTAAACAGTAGAAATCAGTGCAAAAATCTTACAGCGCTCTAAGAGACGGGGCGTGTGTGAACAAACCCTCCTGCAGAGTGGAAAATATATTCCCAGACAAATTCCTGAAAGACACACAGACGTTATGCACAAACCTATCCCAGTAACATTAAAAACACAGCTAGAACATACAGCTCAATGTTCAATAAAGACTCACAGTTTGGAGAGACGGCTGAGATCAAGAAACATATCAGCAGAGAAACAGCCAATCCTGTTGTTGGAAAGATCCCTGCACAAACACACACACACACACACACACGTACGTTTACTTAGCTATCTAAATGGGGACATTACATAGACTTCTATTGTTTTTATATACAGATAGTTATACACTTTTTAGCCTAAACCCACCCCTACCCCTCACAGAAAACTTTCTGCATTTTTACAATTTCAAAAAAACCTTTCAGGTTATGCATGTAACCATGGTTCCCAGAGAGGGAACTCAACGCTGCTCCCCCTAGGGGGCACATTGGGGAATGCAGCCTGCATGACTGGTGTCTGAAGCACGTGTGAAACAACGCCAATCTATTGGCCCACCTGGCCCATGATGTCATAGGTGGGATGCCCGGAAGTATAAAAGGGCACCTGCTGAATACGTCATCCTCTTTGCTGTCTGAAGGGGACGTAGACAGGCAGGCCGAAGGCATGGCAAGGTGGCGCAGCGTCTCGTTCCCTCTCGGGAACCATGGTTACATGCGTAACCCGAGACGTTCCCCTTCAAGGGAACTCAACCATGCGCCCCCTAGGGGGCACATTGGGGAACTAAATCCAAACACGCCATGCTGAGGCGCATGCCTGTCCACCTGGTGGGAGAGCACCAAGGAAGCGACAGACATAAACAAAGCAGAAAGGGGCCATGCCACTGACGCCACTGGTCGCTCACACAACTTGGCAGAAACGGGTATGCTATGCTATGCGAGCAGAACTAGCCTGGATACACAAGACCACTGAGGAGGTGAACTAGAAAGCCTCTAGAGGAGCTCAAGAGATGCTACTTAAATCCCAGGTAAAGAGAGTAGCTCCTGAGCTAGAACACAGCTACCCTCAGATAGCTATGTCCCTAAGGTCTTGTGGACCAGAATAACATAGCCAAGATAGCATTCCTACAGAGCTGCCCAGACCACAGAGAGTGGGCTATCTACTTACTACCCTAGCAGGGGAGATAGCACTGTCTCGGCAAGGGCTCAAAGAGACCGCTACTTAAAGACCCTAAAAAAGGGGAGCAGACACTGAGCTAGCACACATATATCCACAGATAGCTATGCACCTAGGAAGGGCTACCAGAAGGGGGGCTCGACTGAAACTACCCAGACCACAAAGAGTGGACTGTCTACTTACGACCCAAAAGGGGAGACAGCACTGTCCAGGTAAGGGCTCAAGGAGACCGCTACTTAAAAACCCTAAGAAGGGGAGCAATCACTGAGCTATCAACAGCTAGTCCCGCACAGCTACTAAATAACCAGGTAAACCCTACTATGAGGCTGCCCAGACCACAAAGAGTGGGCTATCTACTTACAACCCTAGCAGGGGAGATAGCACTATCTAGGTGAGGGCTCAAGGAGACCACTACTTAAATACCCTAGGAAGGGGAGCAGTCACTGAGCTAGCACACAGATATTCTCAGATAGCTATGTACCTAGGAAGGGCTACCAGAAGGGGGGCTCGACTGAAACTACCCAGACCACAAAGAGTGGACTGTCTACTTACGACCCAAAAGGGGAGACAGCACTGTCCAGGTAAGGGCTGAAAAGACTGCTACTTAAAACCCTAAGCAGGGGAGCAATCACTGAGCTAGCACATAGCTATCCTCAGATAGCTAGGCTGTAGGAAAAGGGACCACTCCATAAGAGGGCTCACCTCAACCGCAATGGAACACAGCTAGCCTCAGATAGCTGTATTCAGGTAAGCCCAACCCGCCTTACCAACACCTGGAATATAACCACCCTCAGATGGCTATACTAAGGAGGACCCCAAACCGTGTCAGTCCCAAGTAAACAATACACAGCTAGCCTAGATAGCCTTCCTGCAGAGTTGCCCAGACCACAGAGAGGGGGCTATCTACTCACTACCCTACCAGGAGAGATAGCAATGTCTAGGCGAGGGCTCAAGGAGACCGCTACTTAAAGACTCTAAGAAGGGGAGCAGTCATTGAGCTAGCACATAGATATCCTCAGAAAGCTATGTACCTTGGAAGGGCTACCAGAAGGGGGGCCGACTTAAACTACCCAGACCACAAAATGTGGGCTGTCTACTTATTACCCAAAGAGGGGAGACAGCACTGTCTCGGTAAGGGCTCAAGAGACCACTACTTAAAACCCTAAGCAGGGGAGCGATCACTGAGCTAGCACATAACTATTCTCAGATAGCGAGGCCCTAGGAAAAAGGGGCCCACTCCATGAGAGGGCTCATCGCAATTGCAGTAGAACACAGCTAGCCACAGATAGCTGTATTCAAATAAGCCCGTCCTGACAAAAACATTGGCTGGAATATAACCACCCTCAGAAAGCTATATTAAGGAGGTCCCCAATCCATGTCAGTCCCACAGTAGGCTAGCAAAGCACCGTGCTATTGACCAAGATCTCACAAGAGGGAGATCCAGACCATCAATAAATCATTCGCTAAACAGCGAACACAAACATCATAGTCCGAGATCAAGCCTGATGTAAGGGGCTGGACAGAGCTATCCTCGAATAGCAGTTCTCTCAGATAAGGCTGAAGATTGCCCAGGCCACGGACACACACACACACACACTCTCACACACACTCTTACACACACACACACACACACACACAGGTTTGTTTTTATGGTTTATGGGGACTCTCCATAGGCATAATGGTTTTTATACTGTACAGACCGTATATTCTATTGCTCTACACCAACCCTACCCCTAAACCTACCCCTCACAGGAGACTTTCTGCATTTTTAGATTTTCAAAAAAACTCATTCTGAATTATTTATAAGCCTTTTGAATTTCGGGGACACTGAAAATGTCCTCATAGGAGAGCAAGTGGAGTTTTAAGTCTTCTACTTCTCAGATGTTTCTAAATTTCCAGCAATAATTTCAACAATCTTCCAGGAGTCTTAAAATGAACTCAAACATTTCTGCTGAAATCAAATGATCTGAGCTGCTGTCCACGTTCATTCTGTAGCTCGAAACGTTCCTTTAGTGGAGAAGTTCATACATGCATGCTGTGAACGAGCAAGCGAACAATAAAGATTTCCTTTGGGAGTGTCAAAAAATAAGGGCACAAGCATTAAATGGGCTGTTATTGCCGGTAATGAGCGCTTCGGTGTGTGTCCTACAAACCGGGCCAGTTCTCATCAGCCTAACCGAGACTGTAAATAAAGATGCTATTCAGAGAAAAGGAGGAGCACACACTCGGCTGTAGCTGCTGTTTGGAGTTAAAATTCTTACTGACAAATGGGCGAAACCTAGGATAGCGGCACATTTTAAAAATGTTAAATTACAACTAATTAGTATTTGGGGTAATTAGTCTTTTAATATGTCATAAACTGATGTCCCTGACAACATTGTTACACTGAATGACATTTAATGGGTCTCTTCTGTAAATCAGGGGAAAATGTATCATATTTATTTTTTGCTCAGAAAAACAAAAACAAAATTGCAATTAAATTAAACAGAAAATGTTGTATTTTTGGGGGGAAAGCAACAACAATTTAAAGCAGTATTACACTTACTGTTTTTATGCTTAAACCCTGTTTCGTCTTTGGCCCGTGTATGTATGGTTTCTACATGATAGGAGCCAGCTCTCCCCGTTATATCATCTCTACACTACACATAATCAGATGGAAATAGAGATTGCACTCACAGCCTCTCCAGAGCTCGCAGGCCGAGGAAAGAGTTATTCTTCAGCGCTGAGATCTTATTGTTGCTCAGGATCCTGAGGAGACATGAAAACACCAGCCATAAATACAGAGCCGGAGGATTTACACACAAGCCGTCATCTTTACAGCCAGCAGCAGATTTATACGAGTGCTTCATATCGGCGGCGTGTTTGTGGCTGTTTGCGGTCAGAATGGAGAAAACAACACTTCTCCAGAAACACTTTCACTGGAAATTAACTCGTTGGAGGTTCATTAAGGCATTATGTGTCACAATATACTGTAATATAAAAATGCTACAATATGAATCATGGATCATGAAAATATGTTTTGTGTATAAAGTTCACCCAAAAATGAATGTTCAGACATTCATATATTTTATTCATATATAAACATTGGTCAACGGCAGTGTTATTATAGTTAACTAAAACTAGAAACATTAAAAAAAAAAACATTTTCATTACTTGAAATAAATAAATGTTGACTGAAATAAAATAAAATATAAAAAAACACATAAACTTAATTTATTTCACCTAGTTTCCATGGCAACATTTCTCATTTTCATTTAGTTTAATTTGATGTACTAATATAACTAAAACTGAAATAAAAATGTGTAAAAGACTTTTTTTAAAACAGCAACTAATAAAAATGACAAAAACACACAATAAAATGCCTAAAACTAAGTAAAATTAACATGAAACCAGATGATAATGAAAAAAATCTATATCAAAATATTAACAAAAACTATAATAGTATCTGGATGAAACTAAAATAACAATGCATGTACAGTACAAAGAGCACATACATATCGTAAACCTGGAAGCTCAAATATTTTGTATTTAGTTTAGTATTTTAGTTTCAAGTTAAACTAAATGAAAATGAGAAACGTTGCCTTCAACTAGCTGACATTTTAATTTTCTTTTTATATTTTATTTCAGCTTGCATTTATTTTATTTCAAGTTACAACAATGATATGTTTATGGTTTTAGTTGTAGTTAGCTATATTAACCCTGTATTGAATAAAATATTTTGGCTTTATTTAAAGTATTGTGACAGTATTGTATTGTGAGATCGTGTATTGAACAAGTGCATCGTTACAGAAGATTCGTCCTGTAAATTTAAGCCATTTCTTCACTATTTCCTCACATTCACCAGCCATATCTTTCTAGAGTATGAAACTCAAATTCATGTTCACACATATATAGTTCTTCGGGAATAAACACACACAGGTGTATGATACAAACACACAGAAGAGAGACTCATACATAATGCAAGAATACACGAATGCACCTTTGAAATGCATTGAGCAAACACTGAGTTTCTGATCTAAACCACAACAGAAATAAAGCAAAGCACAAGCTCTTTTCATAAATTGTTCAAACGTTACAATCAATACACAAATGCACGCTCACACTACAAATATGATGTCTACCTGAGCAAAGGATTCGCATCACGCATGTAAAGCAGATCTGATCACACACTCACACATACACGCATACTCACACTCACACTCACAAACACATACACACGCACGCAAAAGCACACACACACAAACACACACACACACGTGCACACACACACACACACACACAAACACACACGCACACAGTGTGTTTGCTGACATCTGATTGGCTGACGAGTGAGAAAGAGTGATGCAAAAAAACATTTTTGTTTTCCAGCAACGAAAAAAAAAAGCCTAAACCCTTACTAATTTATGCTTGAAATAAGAAAAATCTATTTCCCAGTGAGGAATATATAATTAAAATAATAATTTTTTCATGCAATATAATGTTTAATATTTATTTGTGTATCTTTTTTGCTTTTTAAAATGTTTTTTGTTTATTTTTTCTTTACCACTATTTTAATTGGCTTCATTATGCACATGGTAACCTATTGGTGAATCAATGGTAGCATATTTCATTAAATATTACAATTATAATAATTAATGTTATATAACCGTTTTAAATATTTAATTTTTCACATTTCATTTTCTGCTATTCTAATTGGCTTCAGATTTGAAATGCATGCACATATACTGACCTATTGGTTAATCAAGGAATTAGCACATTACTAATTAAAACACTTGCAGCAGCCCTGAAATTAGTCCAGAAAAAAAGAGGTCATGTGAGAAGAATATCATGACTTTTTCAGAAGATGACTTATTAAAGTATCATTATTATATAGTGTGTGAAAGCTGTTGTCAAAATGACACATCTGAAATGTAATATGTTTTTTAACAAACAACATCTGCTACGGATTCGAGTGCATTATTCCTCTGCGTCTGCATGCATGTCCTGCGTCAGTAACAGTGAGTTCAATGTTTGCGTGTTGAGTGTGTCGTTTTGCACGTCACAAGGTCGTTAGCCCCCACACGCCTGTCAGGCCTCTGACTAACATCCAGGAAATGGCAGGCAAAACATAATTGTACATTATGTAAACAGTGCATGCCGAAACTCCAGCGTCCTTCCAACTTTCTATATACAATATCAATTATGTTCTCCAAGGATAAGCTGAGAGAGAAAGAGGGACAAATTAAATATTGTCTTTCTCGAACCGCCGGAGAAAATGGTCTGTGTCATTGAGTGTGATTTAATCCAGCAGCTAAAGGTTATGAGTCTACACACACACTCACTCACTCACTCACTCACACTCACACTCACACTCACATCCTCACTCACTCACACTCACTCACACTCACACTCACTCACTCAGACTCACACACACTCACACTCACTCACTCACACTCACACTCACACACACTCACTCACTCACACTCACATTCACTCACACACACTCACACTCACACTCACACTCTCACTCACACTCACTCACACTCACTCACTCACTCACACTCACTCACACTCACACTCACTCACTCAGACTCACACACACTCACACTCACTCACTCACACTCACACTCACACTCACATCCTCACTCACTCACACTCACTCACACTCACACTCACTCACTCAGACTCACACACACTCACACTCACTCACTCACACTCACACTCACACTCACATCCTCACTCACTCACACTCACTCACACTCACACTCACTCACTCAGACTCACACACACTCACACTCACTCACTCACACTCACACTCACACTCACATCCTCACTCACTCACACTCACTCACACTCACACTCACTCACTCAGACTCACACACACTCACACTCACTCACTCACACTCACACTCACACTCACATCCTCACTCACTCACACTCACTCACACTCACACTCACTCACTCAGACTCACACACACTCACACTCACTCACTCACACTCACACTCACACTCACATCCTCACTCACTCACACTCACTCACACTCACACTCACTCACTCAGACTCACACACACTCACACTCACTCACTCACACTCACACTCACACTCACATCCTCACTCACTCACACTCACTCACACTCACACTCACTCACTCAGACTCACACACACTCACACTCACTCACTCACACTCACACTCACACTCACATCCTCACTCACTCACACTCACTCACACTCACACTCACTCACTCAGACTCACACACACTCACACTCACTCACTCACACTCACACTCACACTCACATCCTCACTCACTCACACTCACTCACACTCACACTCACTCACACTCACTCACACTCACACTCACTCACACACACTCACTCACTCACTCACTCACACTCACACTCTCACACACACTCACTCACACTCACTCACTCACACTCACTCATACACACACTCACACACACTCACACACACACACTCACTCACACTCACACTCACTCACACATTAGCCAAAACATGCATTACAAGTTATAATGCGATGCATTTGACTAGACCTTACATTTCATGCATGTTGAATGAAACTTAAAATTAAACAAATTTTACAGATCTTTGTTTTAATTCCTTATCTTGACTGTATTCAAATATTTTGACACAAAACTTGACTAAAAATGCAAAAACAACTGATTGCATTCTGGTACTTTATGCATTGACTACATTTATTATAATGCATATTGTTTTACATGCTGATATTATTGACACTTACTGTAACTGTGGAAACTGTGGGAAAAAAGAACTGCGAGATATAAACTTAGAATTGTGAGATATAAACTTAGAATTGTGAGATATAAACTTAGAATTGTGAGATAAATTCTGAATTGTGAGATATAAAATCTGAATTGTGAGATATAAACAGAACTGTGAGATATAAATTCTGATTTGTGAGATATAAACAGAATTGTGATATAAATTCAGAATTGTGAGATATAAACTTAGAATTGTGATATAAATTCAGAATTGCGAGATATAAACAGAATTGTGATATCAGTTCAGAATTGTGAGATATTACCTTAGAATTGTGATATAAATTCAGAGTTGTGAGATAAATTCAGAATTGTGAGATATAAACTTAGAATTGTGATATAAATTCAGAATTGTAAGATATAAACAGAATTGTGATATCAATTCAGAATTGTGAGATATTACCTTAGAATTGTGATATAAATTCAGAATTGTGAGATATAAACTTAGAATTGTGATATAAATTCTGAATTGTGAGATATAAACTTAGAATTGTGATATAAATTCTGAATTGTAAGATATAAACAGAATTGTGATATAAATTCTGAATTGTGAGATATAAACTTAGAATTGTGATATAAATTCTGAATTGTAAGATATAAACAGAAATGTGATATAAATTCTGAATTGTGAGATATAAACTTAGAATTGTGATATAAATTCAGAATTGCGAGATATTAACTTAGAATTGTGATATAAATTCTAATATTGTAAGATATAAACTTAGAATTGTGAGATATAAACAGAACTGTGAGATATAAATTCTGAATTGTGAGACATAAACTTAGAATTGAGAAGAATAAACTCAGAATAACAAGATTTATGTAAATTTGCTACTCTGAGAAACAAAGTCTGAATTGGGAGATAAAAACTTATTTAGTGGCTGAAACAAGCTTCCATACATAACAGTGTGACTTTCTGTAAAGCTATTCTGAAATAATGCATATTGTGAAAAGCTCTTTACAAATAAATTTA